CCGGGAGGGGGCTCATAAGATGGCGGCGGGAGGGTTGGTGAGGCTGAGGCCTTCGCCCCGTCCGGCAGCCTTGTGGAAAGACTCGGAGCCGTGCCACGACCGGGTTAACCTGTTGCAGGAGCTGAGTGGTGCGTTTCCTCTGTCGCTGTAGTGGCAAGGCTGGACACAGCTTGTCCGCCAGGGCCAGAGAGAGCTCCCGGCCCTGGCACGGCCTGGCACAGCCCGGCACGCGTGCTTGGGCGCTTGCAGCTTGTCATTCACCTAACCTTCATTTAAACTCCAGAGAAGGCGATCCTGGAATATTGTTCTGAATATTCTGAAATAGGGAATGGGATGTGGTTGGAAACGTTGCAGAGTCTGCCCCTTGGCCTTTAAACAGAGGCCCTTTGGATCAAGCTGTTCCCCTCATTTTGTCTTGTGTTGTTTCAATTGTGGAAGCTGCCATGGTAATTTCCCTTCCTGATATAGAAGAATATGCTTTTGTACAACCATCTCGTGCTTTATTCAGCCCAGAGAGAGGATAATGGAAAGAGGCGTTAGGTTTACGTCCTGTTTGAATTCTGTGACTGTGTAGGAAACATGTTCTCATTGTCTCCAGAGTCCTTTGCCAAGGAACAAGAGAGCCTCCCCTGCATATCCCTTCCCTCCTCTTTGTTCTCGGCCCTGCTTTAGCTGGCATTGACCGGAGTTGGGCGTTTTTAGCTTCCCAGTGCAAAATGTAGTCTTCAACAGTATCTGTCTGTGTAAACTCTGGTGTGTTGTCTCAGTTGCATGTCCCAGAGGTAAGAGAGTTTGTTCTTCAATATGATGAGGAAGGGGATGTTTTGGATGCAGCTGGGAGCTTTCCTGGCACTTGTTTGCTCTCCTCTGTGGGATTTTCACTGACCCCTGGCTTTAGACATGGATGGTTAGCAAGGCCCTTACGAGTGGCAGTCCCCCAGCAGCAAAAGGAAGCATGGTTTCAGGTGCTCTGCTGCGTATCTTGGAGCAACAAGTCATTCTGAAAAGCCAGCCCTTAACAGCTGTTCTTGGGTCCTGTTGCTTTCATTTATAGCCAAGGGAAAGAGACAGATGGAGTTATAACTTAACTAGTTTAATAAATCTTATACAGTGCGTGGTTATATCACTTTATCCTTCGTTCAATTACATTAATGTACAGTACATTATAGCATTATCTGCAGGCAGTACAAATAGAACAGACGCACAGCTCAGTCATATGGAAATTTTTAAAAGTGACTTCTGCAATAAGGTCCACTGGTATGTTTGTTACAAAATGCTCCCGTGGCTCCCGGCTTTACAGAGCTGTCGTGTACCTCTCTGTTATAATCCCAAGTAACTACAATTCTGTGTGATTTGTTTTCCTTTATAGCCAAAGACAAGAATGGTGGCGTGTTTCCTAGCTCACCATTTGTTTTTGTTTTCATTTTAGACATTGTTTAGCCTCCTCCCTTCTAACACCAATGGTTTGCCAGCGTTCACACCCGCTTCCCATCTCCACCCTAATCCAGAGCTGGGGCTTCTCAGGAGGATCGTCCTCTTCATCCCTCCCTGATGAGGTGAGTGTCCTTTGCAAATTCCAGCCGCTGTGACAAGCCAGCAGGGTTGTGACTAAAAACCTGATCCTCCCCTGTGAGTTCCCTGCCTGCACCCCAATTCTGCTGGGGGTAGCAATGTCCTGTTCCAAGCGTAAGAAAAGACATCATCCATTAGAAATATTTTTGGAAGAACAAAGGCAAAGTTGAGAGGTACATCAGTATTCTCAGATTCGACACGTGTTCCCCAGCCTGTGCTTTACACCTGTACAGCTTTTCCCATTAAATGTGCAAGGACAGGCCCAAATTGTGCAAAGGCTTAACCTTTAAAGGGGGGTGGGCCCCTTCACGGCACGCCAAGGAAAGCACGTGTGTAAGTGTCTGGGGAGCCTGGGCCTGCATTCCCATTCAACCAAAGTTATTGTGCGAAGGGGAGAGAAAGGCAGAGTCTTCCCAGTCTGTGAGCAGCTCCTGTAGGTGTGTTTGCTTTACTGAGTTGCCATCAGGTTGGTGTGTAAGTAAAATATAGGTAGAAATGTAGCGTGGGCCAAACCTGCCGTGGACAGGAAAGCTATTCCATGCTTGCTTGAGCTTTTAAAACTTTGAGTAAATTATTGATGTGTAATCACTGAATTACGTCTCTAGGGAAGGGGATTTTTCCCTCACCCCTATTTACAGAGTGTGAGACGAGGGGTGTTTCACTCGACAGCTATATACATATGCACATAACGTTCTTAAGAAAACCAGGAAGTGAAGAACAACAGCCTCTGCTAAATCAGGTTGTTATTTTTTTGTTGTGGCCATTTATTTTGTATTAAAACAGCCTTTCCAAGCGTGCTTTTGTTTCTTAAGAGATTTAGGAAGCGTTTCAGATTACTCTTTGCAATGAAAACGTGAAGGTGGGGATGAGTGGCGAACGCCCCGGGAAGGGCTTTGGGTTGGGAGCAAACGACAGGGGCGATTTGTCTCCGTGTGAGGCCTGGCTTGGGCAACGCTGCGGCTTTCCGGGGCAGGCTCAGTGCCGAGGTGAAGGGCTGCACAGCTGCTCTGAGCCCCAGCCCCTGCGTAAGCGGGGATGATCAGGCTGAGCTCACCTATTTGCAGATTCAAATCACTTCAGTTGTCACTTGGCTCCTGCTCGTTCCTACGCCGCGAAAGCCCGTTTCCAGTGTGCAAAGGCAGCGCTAACTGGTGTGGGTGGTTAAGGAAGCCGCCAGTCTTGTGTTGCAATCGTAGCCTCCTCCAACGAGGGGGCGTGGAGGGACAGAAGGAGGACAGTGAATTGTCACAGGGCCTTGGCTAGTGGGCTGCAGGGGATATTTGCCACAGAGAAGGCAATGGAAAGTGGGGGGAAGGGCTTGTTTCCGTGGTCCAGCCTCTAAACATTCAGGCTGGCTTGTTCTGTGCTGTGTGCCCTGCCGGCGAGGGGGCGGGAGCAGGTACAGCCCTACGAGGAAAGCTTGGCGGGGTCTTTTTTGCTCGAATCCAGCCATTGTCGTACATTCAGACACGTGTGAGTTCTGCTCTGCTCTGACCGCATGCACATAAAATTTCAGTATAAAATATATAGTTATAAAAAAAAAAATACTTCATGCAATATTAAAACACCTTTCCCAATGGGACACGGTCTTATTGTCTACCCTTATCAACAGTGTTCCAGAAGTTGTCCCTTTGATGGCAATTACACTGCCAAGTGGAGCCCTGCTGTCTCTTGTCTGGACTGGGGATCATTGCTTTCATTCCCTTTCTCTGCACTACTACGACTAATAGCTGAAATAAAGCAGGTGATAGATTTTAATTAGCGGAATCGATCCTTTCCTGGCGACGCTTCATGATTTCTTGGAGCTCTGACTCCCCTCTGCTTTTCTAGAATGGAAACAAAAGAGGAAGTTTGAATTTTAGCTTCAGTCTGCAGTTAAATTATAGTATTTCACTAACGCTGTAAGAGCAGAGCTAGTTTCAAAGGGATAAGTGATACTGGTATAGAAGGCACATTAGTGGAGACAGGGTGATCTGCCTTACAGATTTGGGGCCTTTTTCCTTAAAAGACTTCTCAGCGTTTTTAGGTGGTTTGGATTTTTTGGTTGTGTGGGTTTTGGTTGGTTTTGTGTTGGGTTGGTTTGTTTGTTTGTTTTTTAATTGTGTTTAATGGTGTCAAACCAGGACAAATGGGATCTCTGACACTGCTGGTACAGGCACCCATTCAGGCAGGAGATGCCCAGAAAGCTCCTTACCTCCAGTTGGTTTTTCTCCACTGTGATTTTACTGTATACTCTGTTTCCCTCATCACCACACACTTTCTTCAGCTCCTCTCTGTTGAGGGAGAAGAGCTGAGCTCCAGTAAGGATGCCAAGGTGCTCCACTGTCCTGGGAAGACACAAAGCAAGGAGAGGCTCTGTAAGTAAATACAAGGGACTTGTAATCCAGTTGAAATGTTGCAAGCTGCCTCCCCTGCTCCTTTTCAAATGAAGGACCAGCATTTCAGGTGACAGTCAAGCAGATCTTACTCTTTGCTGAATGACTTCGCCTCCAGCCAAGCTTTGACTTCCTCAGTGCTGGATTCGAAGGTGAGGGGCACAAAAACTTGCTGAGGCTTTTCCACTTTGAAATTCCTCTGGGGAGGCTGAATTTTATTGTTTGTGATCTTCTTTAGCAACTCATCATTCAGCTCATCCATTTGATGAATAAGTTCTGGGGAAAGAAGGCACAAGGTAGAGAGTAGGAATCAAGGCTTCAGTCACAAATCCTGTTAAATTAATGTGTTTGTGGGGAAAATGTAAGGAAGATCAAAATGTGTCTCAATTTTAATTAACTGTGTAAATACACCAAAGGAAAGTGCTTACTTTTGTATTTTAGTTTTAAAGAACAAGCTTAAGTGCTTTTAGAGCAATAGGTTGAGTGCTGACATTTTGACCTTCAAACTTCCGTTGGGAGCAAACATGTGGAGGGAGACTGGCCCGGGGTCGGAGGCTGGCAGGCTGCTGGAGCAGACTGTGGGAATCTCCCCTTTCCTCCCAACTTCCTTCAGCTTTTGAAACCTCGCTTGCTCTCTGGGAGAAAGCTAGATTTCTGCAGCTCTTCCCCAGCATGATGGAGAGGAGGAATCACAAAATTACAGCCAAATGCTCATCGTCCACACAGCGGTCACTGAATCTAAAAAGCTGCCTAAGGGTTTCTTGCAGCGTGGCTGTCCCCCAGGAGAAGGGCACGGTTTGGTACAAGCGCTGCATGTCTAAGGTTTTGGCCTCCTTGCTCCAGCAACGTCCATTAGGCTGATTGGAGAGTCTTGGAGCAACTGCTGCTGTTCTTGGGAGGAAGGAAATCTCTGGTTCTGATGCTGGCCAGCATTGATACAGCTGTACAATTTCTAGAGAAAAGTGTATTCTCTGTCGTGGTGTACACCAGCCGACTCTGAGCTGGCTTGGTTAACGTATTGCCCAGTCCGTGTTTAACCGGGTAGAGGTTGGTCTGGGGTGAAAAAGGAGAGCTCGCGTCTGCACTTGCTTTCAGCCAGTGGGAGCAAAACTACCCATCAATCTGCCTGGAAAATCCTTGTTCAGAAGCACTTGGGGGGGAAAAGTGTGTCACGTTTGGCAAAATAATAGAACATTTTGGTAAGAACACATGCGTTTTGTGCGACTGGTGACTGTAGCAGGTGCTGGTAAGGGCCCGTATCTTCACCTGTTTTATATTTAAATTTGTATTGAGACAAATTGTTTCTCGTGTTGCTAACCTATCCTGCTCATCACTCCTCGTTCAAAGGATGTAAAACCCTGCAACACCAACAAGCAGAAGTTTGGTCAAGGGTGTAAGACCTGATCTGGCAGTGCCTTTGCTCCCACTGGTGCTGTCAAGGGGTGACGAGGGACAGAGTCCCTTTTCCCTGATGTCTGTTTTTGCTTTAGTTTGTCATCTTCCTGTTTCTGAGTTACTTAGTTCCCTTCGGGCTATTGAAATAAGGAAATTGCTCTGCAATCTTAGCAGCAGGGAGGGGAAAAACCCCAGACCCCGTGAGGCAGCAGAGGTCAGGGAGGCCTGACTATCCGTTTCTGAGAACGAGGTTCCCATTTTTCTGTGCCCCTGTGCTGCCATTTGGTTTCTTCCCATTGCCCCTTCGCTGTCGCCTGGTGTGGAAGGCCAGTTCTGAGAGTACCTGCAATTAAGAGTCTTGGGTTTGAGCTGTGGCCCTGCTCCCTCTACTTCTCAGTCCTCTCTGCTCCTTCTAATAATGCACTTGCTGATCCAAGTCCTCAGAGCTCCAGCTTCTGCTGTGCAGCTCAACAGGAGTGGGAGGAAGCATGAGCTGGGAGTGAGCAGCACACTCCTAAAACTCCAGTGACATCTCCTCTAGTATCACTTTTTCCATGGAACTCTTGAGGACTGTGGAGCATAACTCAGTGTTATTAATAGATACGTGTCCATGATGCTCGTATTGTGGGGCTTTCCGTCGTCCCAAAAGGGCTCAGGGGATGAGCGCTGGTTGTGGCCCTGGGGAGGCAGCTTGCTGCTGGCGTGCGCGGGGGGCGATAATGCTCTGTGAGCCCGTGTGCCACGCGCAGGGTGAGGGAGGGGTGGGGGGTCTCACATTTGGCAGATCTGGTGGCTGGGATTTCGCTGAAACCACCTGAAGGAACAGGCCAGGCGGGCGCTGCGTGTGTGGCAGGAGAAGGGCAAACAGAGAGAAAGGGATTGACTTGAGCGTTTGCTTTGACACACTTACATGTTTTGGTGGGGAAGGAAAACTCTCTCCTTGTGAGGAGGAGGAAGGTCAAGCTGGAAGGAGGGTTAAGGTGATCACCTTTTTGCCCTCCTTGTCCCAGGCTGCCTGAGAACCCCTGACGTGAGTCAGCGAGCTCCTCAGTGCTGCTCTGTTGCACTACCTGGGATCTCCTCTGTGCAGCTCCTCCAAAACCCCTGCTGGGCTGTGGCTTATCGCTAAAAGGTGCAGTCGCTCCTCGTGCAGAGCCTCACGAGAGGGAAGGCGCTTGGGCAGGCCTGGTTGCCTGCAGACAGCAACCAAACCCAGCGAACAGACCATTGTGGTAAAAGGAAAGAAAGAAAGAAAAGCTCTGGGACAGAGTGAGCAAAAGCAGGTGCTCACAGAAACCTCTCAGTGGAGCCCCGAAATGCAAAGCCGTGGTGCCGTGTGCTCGGGCTGCCTGAGGCTGCTCTGCGGGTGCAAAAGGTGCCGGGCGCTGGGGGCGCGGTGGGGGACACGTACGTTCTTTGGCGTCCTGGGGAGAGCTGCGCGATAACATTTCACTGCCCCACTTATCCCCGGCGTAGCTGGCCGGTAGCTTGTGAGTTGGGCTGGATGGTCCGTATCCCCTGGGGCCTGGGTCTCCTTTGTACCTCTGGTTAGACTAGGTGATAAGAAAGAAAGAAAAAGAAGTGTAAGAATTTTTTTTTTCTTGGCCATTTTTTCATTGTCTTTAACTTTTTGCCTCCCACTCAAATTGAGTCACAAGCTGCCATGTTCTCCCTGTGCTGATCTGGGGCCGCTCAGCTGAGGCTGCTGTGACCTTCGGTGGATTTGCACAGGAGAAGTTAATTTCTGGAGCCTCGTGGGAACAAACAGAACCCAAACCAAAGGCCAAAGACTGCACAAAGGCATTGACACCCCTGGAAAACAGGTCACCCTCGTCACAGGGGGCGGCACGGTGGTTTATGCTTCCTTACTGCTGCTCTCACGTGTGTGACTCGGCCCTTTAGCCTTTTGCTGTGCAGAAATTACTGCTTGTAGGACTTCCTCGGAGAGCAAGGGAAGCAAAAGGGTTTTTAGATGAAAACAAACAGAAATCCCATTTGAAGCTAAAGCATCACTGCTCTACTAACTGGATGTTAAGTGGGACCGTCGCCAAGTGCCCAGAGCAGTCTGGAAAGAGTTCTTTTGACAGTTTCTCAATTAAACTAACAGGGCTTTCGTCCAGAGGCCTGCTGGGACACCTTATGCTTTGCCCAAGCTATGAAATACTGAAGTGGGAAGCTTCCGTAGGGCATTCAAAGCTCTCCAGCTCCACATTTTTGTAATGCAAGGTGCTTGAGAGCAACGTTCACTTGGTGCTCACTTAGATGGTATTTCCATCTGCCTCCACTCTGCTAACTTGTTCCTGCTGCTGAACTGAACTGGATGAGGGAACTGCCTGTCCTTAATTCAACCCCCAACAAAAATCTCAGCATTTACGTGGCAAAACTTGCTTTTATGGCTGCGTTGGCTCTCTCACCCTCTTCTTGGCGCAGCCCTGCAAGCAGCAGGGTTTCACAACAGAGAGGTGATGAACCATAGGCTGAGAAGGAGGTGGGTTTGGGGGTGGGCTCTGGCAAAAAGGGGATCCCTTTCAAGCCACCATAGCCAGCAGCTGTTTGGTGACTCCTCAACACACGACCTTTTCTGTTGGGGTGCCAAGTCCCGGTGCTGGGCTCGGGGTGGGTGTCCCTTCGAGCTAGGGTCTCACTTCATAGCAGGCTGCTGCCTACAGCCTAGGACTCGGCCTTTGCCTGTCCCATAACCCTGCCTGCCCGGCACTGCTGGCAGCAGGTGATGTGCTGGATGTCTCGGAGCAGGAGGAGAGCACAAGGCTGCCATGCGGATGGGAAGGATAGGCTTTGTCTGGGGAGGGGAAGGTAACTGCCAAAATGTGAGAGTTTTATTGTAGGAGACTCGGGAATCTCCAGGATCCTGGTTTGTCTGCTTGTGGGGGTTCATCCCAGCTTGTGCAACAGCATCCTAAGAAATCCAGGGAGGTCTAATGACAAGGTTATTCTCAGAGACAGATTATGCCCTGCAGCTGGCTACCAGTTAAATATCACCTGACTACAGACCTGTTCCAGCTCCTCCAGTTTCACCACAT